ATCTAAAGTTTCTGAGGGACTACAGCCAGTCAAGGCCTAGACCTTGGAGGCCCACAGAGTCAAAAGCCGGCCCTGGGTTAAGGTCTACCCTGAGCAGGAGCTTCCAAAGTAATCACCACCATTAACTTATGTGGTCTTAACTGCTTATTATATTTATGCTTTTCATTACAAAAGTAATATAACCACAATGCATTAAAATTGGAATATATTTTTAAAGGAAAATAAAAAGTTACTACCATAATATAAAAAATAAAAATCTTTTGGTTTATTTTCTACAAGCATGTTTGCTTCTGAGCAAGGACGACCCATTGACCATACAGCACGAGCGCTGCTACTTTCATTTGACATTGCAAATGTCTTTAGGGCAATCATTTTTTTTATCCTACCACAGCAAATGGATATGCAGTTATTGACTTAACTATTCCCCTACTCCAGCACATGTAGTTCTATTTTTTTTTTTGAATTACAAACAATTCTGCAAGGAACAAATTTGTTCTTAACACTGTTTCTATATTTCAGGCCATTACAGAAGTAGGATTACTGGGTCAAGATATATCCATTCGCATAGCCCTTGAACACATCCAGCAAAAGTGCTCTGCAAAAGAGCTTTTACAATTTATGCTGCAAGTGGAAAGAAATGCTGGTTTTGCAGCATTTGATATTATACATTTCTGGTGTAAATTTAATATGTGACGATATGTCAGAGATAGACCAAAACTAGCAGACGAATAATCTTTTTTTTAACTCTTACTCCATCACTGATTTGATGTTTGGAGATGGTCCCTTCATTTAAAAAAAAAAAAATCACTCTGTATGTTCATTTGTAACAAATGCCCATGATCCACGTACTGTATTCCAGGCACCATTCCCAGTGGACATGAATATACCTTACATGTTGGGTGTCGTGGTTTCGCTAACGCTGCTTCTGCTATTATGATAACTCATCCCCAGTGGCTATTTAGGGCTTTGTGTTTTTTGACCAAAGACTGCCCATTAGAGGTACAGGGAGCTTTAAAACTACCTGGTGTTTGGAAACTCCCTAGAACAACTCAGAATTGCTAGACATGGGGCCTGCCCATTACTATTTGTGGGAGCTCTCAGCTGATTCAGATGTACAGACTGCATTGAGATCCACTGTGTAAGGCTCCAGAGCACACGGGTGCCCTGGGGTTTGGGCTCAGGATATCAAAGTCCAGGTTTTAGAGTGAAGGTTCACAATTAGGAGGGGACATTTGCTTCTCTCCGCTGTAGCCTCTTGCAAAAGAACTGTGGTCTAGTCTTTTGTACAGCCTGTGCTCTTGCACCCTCCACTGATAATCTTGTTCTATGTCATCATTCTGTGTGTTAAGTACCAGAAATAAAGCACCACAGTCCAAGGTTAACACACCTTCAAGTGAAAGTATCCAGGGTTGTGCTCAAGAGAAGCGTCTCCCAAAATGGGTAAAAGGTTCACTTTCACAGACCAAAGAGGGAGCTCCCTTTCCTTTGAGACTTTGTGGCAGGGTTGGCTTCCATACTTATTTGGTAGCTAGGCCCACTGCGTAGGGGAACACAGGGGAAGGGGCATTGTGCAAATCAGATTTCTAGAAGGTTGCTTCAGTAGGCTGAGGTTCTTGAGGTGGGTATAAAAACCCTCTACTGTCCTATTTTCTTTAAAGTGAAGGTGGCTGTAAGTCAGCTAATCAACTTTGTCTGGGCATCTTTAAAACATCTCTTTTAAAGCTCCCCTTAGCCCAGGCCCCTGACTGCACCGAGTAACCACTTGCTGACAGGCATGAAGGGAGAAACAACCGCTAGGGTTGAGAGTCTGTAATTACAGAGGCAACCTTAGTGGAGACCAGTCTAGAAAAATAAACTTTGGATTGCTTTATTTTCAAGGATACTTATTTAGTCAATAGCCATCTTCTCCCAAGATTGTCCTTTTCTAAAATTCAGTATCCGTGAACTTTTTTAAAAGTCTCTTGGGGCCAGGGAGATAGCTCAGTGGAATAAGCGCTTCCCTGGAAAGCACAAGGGCCTGAGTTCAGTCCTCAGTTCCGCCAAAAAAAAAAAAAAAAAAAAAAGAAAAGAAAGTCTCTTAACTAGCCTAACACCTCATTTTTCATGTCTTGGTTTTAATCTATTTGCCCTGTTATAGTCGTCTCTAAAATTAAGCTAATAGGGCCAGCTAAATAGCTCAGCAGGTTAAAAGTACCTGCAAACAGGCACAGGGGCCGAAGAGTCAATCCCTGGGCCTGCCAGGCTGGCCCCGCCCCCAGAGCATACTGAGACCACAATTGCAACTGGGCAGTAGTGGCGCACACCTGTAATCCGAGCTCTTGGGAGGCTATAAGCATGTAAATCACTATGAGTCTGATCTAGTAGTGAGACCCTGAACACCCTGTAGACCCTTCCCTAAAATAAATAAATAAATAAATAAATAAAATGAAGCTAATATCTATTCCAGCTATCCTCAACATCTTCAACTATAGCCTCAGCTAACAAACTACTTGCACTTGTGTCCCAAATCCCGTAGCCTAGTGGGCTTTCAGTACTTGTGCTGGTCTCTCTTTGAAAGATGAGATTTCATGGGAGGTCTGATTGATTGCACATTTCATGTGGTTCTCAGACAGTTTCAAATAAAAAAGGGTGTGTCTCTACTCAGTCCCCGTGTATTTAGGTTGGTGGTAAAACATACGCATGATCATCAATTAGTTAAATATAGTAAAGAAGGGAGGGGACCAAGTCATTAAGGATTTAAAAGACTTGGAAGGTAGGAATAATCCCAGGGCTGACATGTGCCAGAGCCAAGGCAGGGTGAGTCATAAATGTGCTCCGAAGTGTCCTACCAACTGTGAGGTCTACTTATCTCTTCTCACCTGAAGCACCTCAGTGCAAAACAACTCAGCCCTCATCCCTCTTCTCAGATGGCTCCTTTTCTCATGTCAGTGTGACACGCGTCTCATGTTACTCACCATCCTGGTTCAGGACCACAGGGGCCGGGTGGGGCCAGAACCTAGCCAGCAGGTAGCTGTGAGGCTGCACCAGGGGCTCCCGCCCAGTGAACAGCTCTGAGCAGCCTGCCGGATGTGCTCAGACTGCTGCAGGCGCCCCAGGTCCCAGAGGCACACGTCTCTGTAGATGATGTAGTGAGCTGACTTTGAATTAGTCTCACAGATGAATGGACTTATTGAGGGGTGACTTATTTTTAGACCGTACTTTTGCACCCCGGCTGCATTCTCATGGTACTTTGTTCACTTCCCAGACTCAGCAGAGTTGCTTTAGATACATTTCCCTCCCTTTGACCTGATCCCTGTCACCTCTCCAGGGGGATTTTTTGGTGGCGTCCTGAACTCTGGATGAAGGGATAATACAGAGTTGAGAGGGCTCAGTTTCTGACACTGGCCATGTAGTAGTCCCAAGAAAAGTGTCTTTTCATATCTGATACTCTCTAATGTAAACTAATTGTTTTACTTTCTAAAGGCCAGGATTCTGAAAGTAATTTTCCAGAATTTTTTTCATGAATGAGTAACTCCCATCCCCCGCCCCATCAAGCTAGCTTGCTTTCTTGGCAAGTTTGTCCTCTGTAGCTTTTATTTCTCCTCCCTTTGCTACCATGATGGTCCTAATTGTATTGGGCAGTCCCACAGTGAAAGTGAAGAAAAGGGAGCTAGAAATTAGAACCCATCACCCACAGGTCTTCTTTACTTTGGATATCAAAGGGCCATTTTGATGTGATCTGTTTTTCTGACCACAGTAATGTGATAGTCTCAGAGGCAGTTGATCTCAATTCTCTGGGGTTTTTTTTCCTCCTACATAAAATAAAGGAGGCAGATTAGATATTTTGTAAGTCCAATCCACCTCTAACTTTATTGCCTGAGAAATGAGTTTTTAGTAAAAATGCCAGAGAAGGTTGGAGCCATCATGCAAGTCATCTGTAAGACAAATGCAAGGAAGAGAGCTGTGACCAGCAATCATGGACCTTTTAGTATAAGCCAGTGAGGCCTGCTTTAACCACCCCAGAGCCATCACTCTTAACTGTGAGTGGAGTCATGTTGATCAGCTGAAGCAATGTGAGTGTTTAAAGATAAATCATATACTAACATCAGGGTTGCCATTAGGAGAGCAGAAAAGAGGACTTCAAGAAATCATTTATCAGCCTTTGACTTTGGGGAAAATGTTTTTTTTCTCTAGAAACCTCAAATTATAAGGCATTGAAGAATAGCCAAGAGTCACAAATAAGCTGAAACTTATCAAGGTTGCTTTCAGTCTATTATATTACTAAGAAAATATGTGTCTTATATAGATTAAAAATGACATATACTATTTCTTTTTTTTTTTTTGACATATACTATTTGAATTTTTGTTTCTAGTTGATGGAGAAACCCTCCAGGCCTTTTTTGTTTTATGATCATTAACATAATACACTCCAAGAATAGAATAAGGTTTAAAAATAAAATTTACTGAGGACTCTTAGTTCAGTGGTAAAGCACTTGTCCAGCATGCTTGATGCCCTGGATTCACTTTCTAGCCCCACCAAAGACAAAAGAAGAAAGAAAGAAAGAAAGAATGAATGAATGAATGAATGAACAAACAAGAGAAAGAAAGAAAGAAAGAAAAAAGAAAGAAAGAAAGAAAGGAAGGAAGACCTATGTATACACATATGACCACATATATCTTTATATTTCCTGACTTAACAGTGAATGTCTAAGGAAAACTGTAGGCCTGATTGAAGTTTGATACCCTTTTCTTGTTTTTCTGTTTCCTCTGCAGCACTTACAGTATGCAGGAATCACTTCAGATGGGTGAAATATCTCGAATCTCTTCATGCATATATCTCTTATCCATATAACTAAAAACTAAGCCCCAGGACTCCCAGGAAGGAGTCCTCAATGCCTTGTACAGAACCTAAGTAGCTTAATCACTGACTTACATGTGCATTTGCAGGAAGGAGCCCAGTGGGGTACACTTAAAATCTTTATTAATTGATTTACAAAATGTACAATATTTACAACATTTAGATATCAATGTCATATTGACATGAATGTTGAAGGGAGTGTAAAAATAAATACGTGGCACATAGGTTAATATACATATCATGGCTCTTAGCACTTTGAACTGTCACCAATGGTGAGACTTAAAAGAAAGTTTGATGTGGTAGAAAAGTCAGATGGCTGAGAAGTCCTGGATCTTTTACATGAATGGCCCTTCCTTGGCTCCTTGAGGCCTGGGGATGGTAAGCAAACCATTTCAAGAGAATTTTTACAAAGTCACTTTGAAGGGTGTTTACCATCATAGCCCTGAGCCCACATCCTGCCAGGGAAGCTCTGAGGGGTCACCTTGCCTCCTACTCAGAACTGCATGCAGTACTTAGAAAATGTCAGTAGAGCATAAGCATGCACAAAAATGGTACTTGTAGACATGTACAACGTCAGACTCTCGTTGTCTGCTAGCATCCTGTGATGCACCACCAACTGTCTCCTCTTGTAGCAAGAGGGATGAATAAGAAAACTATACCCTCGCTTCCCAAAGAGAAGACATCATGTGGGGACACATGCAAATGGCATCCTACAAAAGCAGGATGAGATCAACTCCATGCTATTAGATAAACAAATTCCCAAGCTGTGAGGTCTGGAAGTTTGCCTAGGAAGATAATTCCACTTTCCTTTTCAATCCTGCTTCATTTCACAGTACCTGTATCTGAAGGAAAGGGCTTCACCCACTGAGCTTCTCTGAGCCTTAGTACCTTCATTTGTAGATTATAAATACAATATTCTTTATAGAGTTCTTGTAGAGATTAAATGACCTAACTATGTAAAGTGCTTAGCAGAGTGCCTGGCACATAGGAGGTGCTTAATAAATGTCTTGTTTTGTCTCTCTCTACCCTCCCATCTCCAATTATAAGTAACAAATTAACAGCCTACCTAACTATGAATTAAGGCTATGTAATACAATTTAGATGACTCTGAATCAGAGAGACTGGTATTTCATCCTATTTGGTCCATGAAGGGATCTCATTTTATGAGCCAGGGACAGTTTCCTGTGCAGGTCAGATGGTTCTAATGACATTGTTCTCTTTTATCACCCCTGGCTCCACCTAGATCCATAGATCCTCTTAACCCTGCACTGAAATTCTGACCAGTGATGGTCTCCACTTGAATATTCCTGAAACAATATCACCGAGGAAACCGTGAGCAAAACTCTTGAGGCAAACATATTGTTCTTGCTCACAATAACTTTTTCAACACTGGTGTTAGAGATAACTTTCCATGAACATATATTACAAGCTCTACCTCTACCGCCATTGAAAAATAAGTATTCTAATTTGATCTTTTTTCAGAATAAAGAATATTTAGAATACATTTTAGTTCCAGTTATGCCATACAAAAATAAATACTGTTTAAAGGATTTATAAGAAGAAAAATAACTTTGAGTGCCAAAAATATAGGTGGATGTGAAGAATCTATCTACTACTTCCAAAGCAATATCTAAAAGAAACAAAAACTTCTCACCGGGTTTCCTTACTAGCCTCACAAACACCTTTTCCCATCCTTCTATCTTGTGCTGTTTTTCTCTATCGACATGGAGGCAATTTAACGCAGCGCATTCTCCCTGAAGCCACTGGGAATTCGAAAGGAGAGGGCTCTTTGACAGTTGCAGCCCTGGAGGAAGAGGCTGCAACTTGGGCAGACCTCCACAATCCTCCTTTCATTCCAGAAGTGTCTGTCTACATTAGTCACCCTCGAACAGAACCCAGTACCTGGAGAAATGACCCCCTGGAATTTGGGACTCTTTGAACAGCAATGTCCCAGGTGGAATGGAGGCTCATACAGCAGTTAGGCCACATGTCAAAACTAATCTCTTCAGTTGCATGAGAGGGGCTAAACATAGCCACTTTATGGATGTCCATTTCATTAAGTCCGGGAAAATCCTTCTCTAGCCAGCCCCACAAATACACCAAGATTTTACCATTGCCTTTTTAACCTTCTACATGGAGCACAGAAAATATGATTCTTAGCAATGAGAGAAAGCTAAGAAAATTAAATGGAACAAGTTGTTTACTATTCTTCCAAGGACTCAGCCAGAATCTCAAAGGAAACAGTCCATTCCTTTGGGACTTGAAGTTTTAAACTACTAAAGCTATAAGGGAACAAGCCATTGCAATTAAATCAGTGGTTCTGTATCTTTCTTCTGAAAAAAAAGCATGTGTCTATATAACATATTTCTGACATCTAAAAGGATACCAGGACCTCCTGCTGCTCATGCATGAATTCTAAATTAAGAACCTCAGATCACAATAAATATCTTCTGAAATGAAAACAAAGGTTTGTGGTACAGAATTCAGTGTTTCTACTGCAGGCAGGCTAGTTTCAATGGGGTCTTGTTTCAACTTGAAATGACGGCACTGAAACAACTCTTGGTCTTTGTGGTTATGCTAATGGTAACGCGTGGCTTCCGTGGACTCCATGAGCATAGCGTTCTCACACATGTAACAACTGTCAGGCCGGGGACTCATGCGTGGTGGTGGACCATCAAGATCCCAAGGACCACGGCTGTGTACGGTGCTGCCGGGCTGCTATAACGTGAATCCTAACCACACGCACAAGCAGGACACTATCACTGACATGCAATGTAGATGTCCATTTGTCTGATTTATAGGGGATGTCGTGGCAAATGTGGCATCAGTTTCATTTCGAGGAAGTGGCAAGTTACAGATGTTTCCTTCGCAGCAAGAGGTGCAGACCTAAAAGAAAAGGAGAAAGGGGAGTGATGAGAAGCCGGCAGGTCTGGGAAGCTGGGGTGGAGAGAGGTGCAGAATCTGTCTTCCTCATGGCAAGACTGAAGTGAAAATGATCTGCTCTAAAAAGAAACACTAGCCCTCCATTTAGGAGTAGTAGTCTATCTAGAAGGAGCAGGCTCGAATGAAAATTCCTTAAACTAAATTTCAAGGAAACAGGGTTATGTTTTTGATACCATACCATGTGGTCCTCATAAAGCTTTGTACCCCTTCTAGGTCTCAGGCATTCTTGAGAAGAGATTCGGAAACTTGCCCTTCTTCTTTCAGACAACTGGAGGAAACTGTCAGCATAAATCTTCCTCTGCCAAAGTTTTGACAGTAAAAATGAAATGGCAACAGCCCACATAATTTAAACCTGAATATTTATTTTCATTATCACTATCAGCATAATTATCTCTATTCTCATGCAGGAGCTACTGTTTTAAGGGTTTTCATTTATGAAAGGAATCCTATTTTCTACTGCTTTATGCCTGAATCATAAGATAGAAATAAACCAAGAGTTACTGACAGAAATTATTTTAAGCGGGACTACACAAAGCACAGACCAACAGCTTCAACTTTAGTTAGGCTCTTATTAGAAATGCAGAATCTCGAACCTGCCCCAGACTTAGAGATTAGAATCTTCCTTTTAATAAGATCCCAGATGACCAAGTGCCACGGAGTGGTTAATGGCCTGGATAGTCACCATGCTGCCGAGATTTGAGGTTTTGGTCATTTTTCAATGGGAAGACAACATGATGTGGAGAAAAGAGCCTAGAGATGAGAAAAGAGTTTGAATTCTGTCCCTGTCACTTACAAGACGTATGATGTGAGCCTATGCTAAAACTTCTCTAATCCTTAACATTCTCCTTGGTAAAGACAACACAAATGCTGGTAGGCCAGCACTGTTGGCTAGAGGGGACAGGTAATGACCTTGGTTTGACCATTTATATTTCAAACCAGGAGCAAGCAGGCAGAGCGTATTTTAAAATTTAATCTTAGTATATTTGGAAAGGTGCTTAAAAATTAAATGCCTTTTTGCAGATGGGGTACTAGGAATTGAACCAAGGGTCTTTGCACTGAGCTACATACCCAGCTTCTTTCTTATTTTTGAGACAAGATCTCCTTTTGGCACTAAATTGCTTCAGCTGGTCTTGAATTTATAATTCCCCTGCTTCAGACTCCCGAGTGCTAAATCACAGGCTTGCCTTTTTAAGAGACAATAAGCCCTTTCTGGGTTAAGGATATAGCTTGGGGGTCTAACCATCTACCTGGCAAGTACATGGACTGGAGTTTGAGCCTGGTACCACATGCTGTGCCAGCCCTGGAACCCCAGGTATACTGTACTGGCCCTAAAACTGGGCACAGTGGTGCAGGCCTGTAATCCCAGTGCTGGGGAGGTGCAGACAGGAGGATCACTGGGAGTCTGAACTGTAAAGTGAGAACCTGTCCAAAAAAAAAAGGGAGCTGGGGAGATGGCTTGGTAGAATAAGCGCATCCCTGGCAAGCGCAAGGGCCTGAGCTCAATCCCCAGTTCTGCCAAAAAAAACCCAAAAGCAAAACAAAAGCCCTGACAGTGCTATTCCCAGGAGGGGTGGGGGTGGGGGGGGAAGGGCATTTCCCTAAAGCACCAGGAAAGGGGCTGACAAAAGAAGGCAAATAGCAAAAAAATGCTAAGGCCTGACGTGTGACTTAGCTCTGAGCCATCACCACAGAGACTAGGCGGGCATTTACCACTCTATGTCCCACAAGTCAGGCCGCCTTTCAGTTTTATATTCTCTTCCAAGGGTGCTCCTAAAGTTCATTTTACAAGGAGTGCTTCTTTCACCAGGCACTGAGTGATGTTTACTGGGAGCAAAGCCACAGAAAGCTAGGTGTCTCGCTGCCTGTGATTCAGGCACCAATGGCAGCATTCCCTAGATGGCATCCCAGGAAAGACCTGAGCCCTCACTTCAGTTATCAGGACAGACTGCCACAGTCCTCTCGGTGAAGGGACTGCTGGTGCTTCTGCAACGCTTCCCACCAGGGGCTGAAGTGGCCACTCTTCCTCTTCCTTCTGAGTAAACAAAGTACAGTACTTGGGGTCCTCTCCGTGTCCTCTTAGGATGTACTTATACAATTTATGTTGGTTATTCTGTGCCCTCATAGAGACTCTCATTCTTTTAGAGAACATAAGAAAGGAAGCACCTTTTCACAGTGGTGTAAAGACAATCAAAAGAGCCTATCTGGGGGCGGAGTGAGAATCTGCTGCTGAGTCCTGGCAGCCATCGAGATGGAGAGAGAGAGAGAGACTGCTGCACTGTCTCTTGCTTTGTTGCCCACACCTTGTGGCCTTCATGCTCTGAGTCTCTGCAGCCAGTGGACAAGCATTCTTCCAGTGGGACACAGCGTTTGGTGACTGAGATGCTGTTTCCTGTGACTTCCATCGTGTGCTGAGTGAAGCAGTAACGGGTCTCTGTCAACAGAGAAAATATGCCTTAATCAAGATGGAAAATACTAGCCTAGTTTGTCTAGAAGGAACACATCAGGAGTGTGGACACATGTCTAACAGCACCCAGGAGATACAGGGCCACAGGCTTATATCCAACCCTAAAGATCTCCCTGAAAAGTTGCGCTTTGCCGTAGAAGGCTGGCCTACCAGAGAACAGTGACCTCTCTGGCCACCGTGACCTCTGTACAGCAAGATACAGTGATGCCACTCTTTGGCCTTGCACAAATTTAGCCATTGTCCTGACATCTATTTGGGTACTTATTTAGGAGGTGAACTCTATTGGTAACTTTCAGGAAGAAGGCAGAATGAAAAGGTTCAAAGAACACAGGCTAAAAGAAACAAAGCCAGATAACAATGGCTGAAAATGGAAGACTACAACAAAGGCTGCATGTGTGTGTGTGTGTGTGTGTGTGTGTATGTGTGTGTGTGTAATAGGTATTTCCACCCAAGGGCTGAACTGGATTCATTTTACCCAGAGGAGATAACACTATTCCAAAAGAAAGAACTGGGTCCGGGGAGATGGCTCAGTGGAATAAGTGCTTCCCTGGCAAGCGCAAGGGCCTGAGTTCAATCCCCAGTTCAGCCAAAAAAAAAAAGAGGAGGAGGAGGAGGAAGAGGAGGAGGAAGAGGAGGAGGAGGAGGAGGAGGAGGAGGAGGAAGAGGAGGAGGAGGAGGAGAAGGTTGCAGTGTCTCCCAAAATACAGAAATGTTTTAGCAGTAATTAAAAAACTTGAGAAAGATGGCTTTGTCAATGCAATGCTTTAAGGCTTCCAGGCAGCATTCAGCTCTCTACGCTGGGAATTGAGGAGAATTTCTAACTCCATTTTCACATTAAAAAAGAAAATGAATAATTCTTTAGAAATGCCACTGAGCTATTTTTCATCTATATCTTGGACCCAACTTTGCATGCTTTATACATTTTGGATATTTAATGGCTAATGTGGAATTATGACCCCCTGTGATATTATTTATTAGGCAATAAAAACTCCTTCTACCAGATTCTGTCATGAGGTTGGCAGTTTTTAACCAGAGTTAAAAGAAGAAAGTTTAAGAATTTCAGGTCTTATTTTATATCTGTATATGCGAAATAGGATAGATATACAGCTACTTTCTCTTAATTCAGTGAGAAGAAATATTTGTACTAATAGTGTTTGGACAGGATATCATGTCTACATCTTGTATTATGAATAACTACTATGAAGACAACAATATGCAATGTATTAATTATTGAAACTGTCCTACTAATTGGTTTTGAAAATGTCTCATTGCTATGTTTCTCAATAAAATTGATTAAAAAATAAAAAATAAAAATAAAAATAAAAAGAATTTCAGGTCCTGACAATGAGCTAATAAGGACCACGCTGACACATCTTGGGAGTCAGAAAACTCAGGGATTTCAACTGACTTCATGGACACCTGTGCCTGCTCAGGACCCGGAGCAGCTTCTCACTGTGGGAAAGGGGAGCGTCTCTGCATGGTTATGCTGTGGTGGGCTGCCTGGGCAGAGCAGGGAAACACCTCCCCTCCATGCTGTCTCCACAGGGTGCTGCGCCTGGCATTCTGTTCACGGGAATCAGGTCAAGGCAGCCCTCAGTGCCTTACTCAGGGTTCTATGGAACTCACTGGGTGTAGGGTAAGTAAGGTCATCCTGGGAGTGAAGAGTTGAGCGTTTTAAACCTGGCAATGATTCTCTCCAAAGCCTGAGACTATTTTAAACTTGGAGTAATGGCCTTCAGAAGAAGAGGAGGCAGTTCTCTGCTTTTAAGGGCCTTGGCAGGTTTTGACAAACAGAGGCCAGCGGTCTGAGAGATTTACCACATCAGCTAAAGAGGACTGGTTTACTTCCTGAGCACGCTCAGGAGGACATTTATGGCCACAGCAGGTACACCTTTCCCACCCCCACCACAACTTCAGATGCTTTTCAGCCAATAAAAACAGGAATGCTCTTATCTCCTGTCTCCTCCTCTTCCAGGCAACTGGAAGCAGCTGCCAGGGTCGTTATTGCTCTAAATGTAAATCTGAGCAGATAAGATCTACTTTTCTGGAGTAAGTAAATCACCACAAGGTTTTAGTTTGGAAAATTAAGTTTGGCCCCCAAGTAATGAATTATTTTGCTTTAAGTAAGTCTTAAAATAACAGTTGGTGGACTTGATGTTTCTACTTATTTATACTTTTCTGTCCACCACACATTCCCTTATTGATTTATCAAATGGAGCTTATTCCACAGAATAAAAGGGGTAACAACTCATAAAGTTATTTTTTTCCAGCAAATGTGTGCATCTTAAGTGCCCAGTAAGCCAATTATTGCCACTTGAAGTGAAGAAGAGAGGTCAGAGAAGATTACGGGTAAGAATTTTTTTTTTCACTAAGTGATTCACAAAGATAGATTGAGAATACTGCCTTCTCTTCCAGCACTGGAGACTTCAACTCTGAAGCATCAACCCCTCAAAAATATTCCGCCACTTTTTAGCTTACAAAATCCCTCGGTGAGTTGGGAAACATTAATGCAGGAAAAGGTTGTGCAGCTCAATGTTTGGGGATTATTCCAACATAGTCACACTGGTTTCTTCAGTGCTGATTTTATGAGGGCCTTGGACACGCACTGTGATCCGGGATCTCCAAGGGTGCTCGGGAGAGCAGGCAGGATTTCCCAAGCACAGCGAGGTGGACCACATATGGCTTATCGCTGGACTGTGGGAGTGATAAAAACTGGTGTCGGCCGCGGAGCAGTGCTCACCGTGCGTTCTGAATAATTCCTGCATTGGTAATGAGGCTACAGGAGAATCAAGCCTGCTGCTAACTTCACACTAAAATGATTTCAAAGGCTTTTATCAAAAAGATAAAAATGGATTTAAATTTCTACCAGGTTAATTTTGGTTTCTAAAAATCTCATATTCTGTAACTACATAGTATTGCCAGAAGCTATGAAACAAATCTTTGATTCACAGTAAAATCAGAAAATCAGAGAGCTTAATCAACAATTGAAAAACATAAAATATAATTTCCAATAAAGTTCTCTCTCTCTCTCTTTCTCTCTCTGTGTCTCTCTGTCTGTCTCTGTCTCTGTCTCTGTCTCTGTCTCTCTCTCTCTCTCTCTCTCACACACACACACACACACACACATGATAATCTAGTTTGGAAATTTAAAACTAGTTCAAAGCTAAAGTGCACATTTTCATTGATTCACTAATATTCAGTTTCCAGTAAAAGACAGTGTATTTAATAGCTACACATAAGGTGATCTGAGTTAGAGTTTGAAATACAAATGTTCATCTCTACCAAAAGGCCTTCTTACCATTCGAGTATTCCATGTAGCTCTGATGCTAGAAAGCAGTTCCCCAGGTGCAAGAAAATGAATGGGAGGGAAAACAATGTAATAACACTACAGATTACATCAAAAAATAAAAGGCTAGTAACATCTGTCTGGCCAGTGCCTGGCCTAAATCCTTCCTGAACAGAGCTCCTCACATCTGTATGAAACATCCAGGCAATGGCTGTCCTCAGTGCCAAATGTCATTCCTTTTTCCAGCTGTGGTCCTAAGGGATCTTTCTATGGCCTTGGATTTCCTTTTTCCATGTCCAACCATGGTAAGCCTCTCTGTGGTCCTGGACTCTTCTAGGTCTAATCTCCCGTGGGATTCCCTATTCTGGACTTCAGATTTGCTTCTCCATTTCCTCCTGCATCTCTGATCACTTCTCTTCCCACACTTTTCCTAACCTGAATGTTGATGTTCTCATCTGTCCTTAAAATTCTTCTCACTTCACTGACCTCAGTAGACTTTCAGTGTCAATCTTTTATTCTACTTTTTTCTCCTGAGCTACAGAATCCAGTTTCCAACTATCTCATGAATACTGCTGATATCACCGCATACCTCACATGTCGCAAACTAAACTCTCTCTCTTTCCCTCACGACTGTTTATCTTCCTGTGTGCCTGCCTCAGGAAGAAGTCTCCTGAGATAGGCCACCTTCATCTTCCTGTGTAACAAGGACTATAATCATTGGAATCAGCTCAGACTTCTCTCCCCAACCTGACAGTTTCTATGTTCTCTGAAATGTCTCCTTTGTCCATTTCTTCAATTCTGGACCAACTGTTCCCTATTTTGTTTATCTGTTTTTGGTTTTTCTCCTCTTTCCTCTCCTCTTTTCAAAGGAGTGTCAGAAAACCACCAGACACATTCTTGAAGCAAAGGTCAGACCACCGCACTCTTCACTTGCGTTAACACCTCCCTGTCAAAACATGCCGCCTGTTGCACGCCTGAGGTCCTGGACCCCCCAGTGGCAGGTGGGCTTTTGTACCCTCGCATCTCCTAAGGCTGTGTTTCTCTGATAGCTTCAGCAACATTTCCAACTTGCCACTTGCAGTTCAAGGTTCTCCTCAATCTAGGCCAGACTAGCTCAGCGCGGCCTTTAGATGCTGTGCCCCAACTTTCGACTATTCTTCAAGACACATTTTGTGCATTCTCTGCTCAGCCTGGAAGACATTTTCCTATGTCCCACTTCTGGAAACCTGCTATTCTTCAAAATAACACAAATTGACAAACTCCGAAATCTTCCCTGATTTTCCTCCTGCGCCAGTGTTAATCTTTCCCCTCCAGGCTGCCACAGTCCCCCTTGGCAGGCTTATTTGCCATATGGCTCTCCTTCTAGATTAGGATTTTTCAGGCTTCACACAATTGACCTTTACTTTTTTAAAATGATGGCTATTTTTTGTTATTTTTAATTAAATCTGAGATAATTATAAATTCACATTAATAATAATACAGAGAGATTCCATGTGCCTTTCACCCAGTTTTCCTACATGGTAAAAGTATAGTACAATATCACAATAAAGGCATTGCCATCAATACAATTAAGATACAGGATATTTCTATCCCTACACAAGCCTTTTATAGTCAAGTCTTCTGTCTTGCTGCTGTCCCTTCCTTAACCCCTGGAAATTACTACTCTGTGTTTCCCTTCTAA